ATTCTAATTCAGGAGTATACTTCAGCCCATAGACACATAAGTTAGTCATAGAGGTTGAATAGGGAACAGGTGATTCTGAACATTTGGGAAGATCAAGGATCCCTTAGCCCTGAGCAGGGTTGTAAAGAATTTCCTTCTCTGTGTCCCTGGAACCTGGTAGGATGTTTTTGTCTAGAACATGGTGGGTGAATATTAAAATCTATTTACGCCTAGTATTCCATTATTGGAACGCTAAGCATGTGGGAATTATTTATATCCTATAGCTCAAGGTCATTGCCAAGGTCTGACTGCAAAAATTCAAAAAATTGCAGCCTCAGGCATAATTAACGGGAAGAAATGGAAGAATGGTAATGCCATTTAGGAAAGATATTGGGATTGGAGAAGTGAGCCTATTAGAAGTCTGTCGGTGAGGGGTAAAGATAGTGAGGAGGTGGGCTACTGGTGAAAATGAAATCATCTTTTGTCCTTCAAAGTCTTGACCCAGGCGCGGTGGCTCCCACCTGTGCATGGTGGCTCCTAGCACTTTGGAAGGCCAAAGTGGGTGGATTGCTTGAGTCTAGGATCTTTGAGACCAGCCTGGGCAACATAGAAAACTCCATCTCTGCTAAAAATACAAAAAATCAGCCAGGCTTGGTGGCACATGCCTGTAGTCCAGCTACTCAGGAGGCTGAGGTGGGAGAATCACCAGAGTTTGGGAGGTTGAGATGGTGCCACTGCACTGTAACGTGGGCAACCCAGGTGAGACCTTGTCTCAAAAAAAAAAAAAAAAAAGTCTATTATTTGAGTTACAAGAAAGAGAAGCCTGAATTACCTTCCATCATGGGTTAACCAGCCTCCTTCCAGGACAGCTGAACAGGCAAGCTTTAGTAGATCCTCACACCAGATACAATCCCCCTGAAAAATTACAAAATTTATCCCAGATAATTTAGAGTACCTTAATATTTCCACTTTGAAGGCAGCTCTTGCCCTTTCCCCTATCCCTGTATGGGGCAGGGTTTCCTTTCACTCGCTCCATCTCTCAGCTGGTTGTTGCCTGGACCTTGTAGAGTGGGACAGATAGTCTGTCACCCAGGCTTGAGTGCAGTGACACAACCTTGGCTCACTACAACCTCCACCTTCCAGGTTCATGCTATTCTCCTGCCTCAGCCTCCCTAGTAGCTGGAACTACAAGCACCTGCTACCATGCCTGGCTATTTTTTTAAAATTTTTTAGTAGAGACGGGGTTTCACCATGTTGGCAAGGCTGGTCTTGAACTCCTGACCTCAAGTGATCTGCCCGCCTCAGCCTCCCAAAGTGCTGGGATTACAGGCATGAGCCACCCAGCCCAGCCTGGTCTGTGGTTTTCTGCTGTCTCCACCTCCCTCCACAGACACAGAGATGACAATGGCTAAATGATTCATGCTTGACCTTTCAGAACAGCCAGGTGAAAGGCTATGCAGGGTATGTGGCTCTTAAATAGCATGTTCTCTGCTTGTTGGGAAGACATGGGCTTAGGTGCTGCATCCTTGAGTGGAGCTGCTGGAACAGCCCCTGTAGGAGCCACAGTGTGGAGGGTGCTGCCCTCTCTGCCACATCCTCCCCCAGCCTCTGTCTCCTCCAGAAGGGCCTGGTGGTGGCTGGATTTTTTGCTTCATAGTGTGGAATGAAGAGTAGGGCAGGAGGTCCCGAGAGAACCTGTTTCAGTGCCAAGTTGGACATAGAATGTATTAAAAGCAAAACCTCTCTTGACATGTGCATTAAGTTTGTTTTGACATACTTCAGTTTATAATCTTTGACTCAGCTGAAAGCATTGGGTTCTGTTTCTTTGGCTCAGATTAAGGGCCTTACAGCTTGTTACCATAGAGTTTAACATGTGCTTTCAGACATTGGCACCCAAATTAGGCACAAAATTAAAGCCGGGTTGAATTTATTATATTGTTATTCTAAAAGTGGGGTTTTCACCATGGAGGTTTCTGTTAGGTTTTATTGATTTAGTTCCATGCACTCAGGAGCAGATGGATTCTTACATTTGTTTCCAGTTCTACCCTCCGTTTCTATTGCTCCTCACCTGAGATCGGGATTGTTACCATTCTTGTCTGTAATCCTGGTCCCTTCATCGTCACTTTGAGAGATGCCATTTCTTCGGGAGCAGGTGTTCACTCCTCTGCTGGGCTTGCACCCTTCTGTCCCAGTGTGTCCCATGCTTCACTCTGCCTCCAAGCTGCTCACCCATCTGCTCCTTCCTACTGGCATTCCTGCTCCTCTCTCCTGGGACATATCCTTTCCCTAAGTGCAAGCTTCACTTCCTTTAATAAACCTGAGTTAGCCTGGAAAATACAGGATAAAATGGAGTTAAGTTTATCCCTCCAAATTTCCAGTTAAGAATGGGTAGGAGACAAGAGTTCTTCCAAAATCCTGTAATAACTATTTTGTCTCTCTAATTTATTTATGTGTTTACTATATGGAAACCTATTTAATGACAAAAAAGGAGACAAAAAAGAACAATTTACTCATCATCTCAGCATTGTTTTCACTCTTTCTATATATGGCCCAGTAGAGAATTTAAATATATATGTTAAGTTGCATGTTTATTTTTTCTTTGCGTTTATTTTCTTTTCTAATTTTATAGTAGGCATTAGGAGGGGTTGGACTATGTTTTATAGTTGTTTGGTGTTCCTCAGATGGCAAGCACAATGCCAGGCACATAACAGAAACAATCAATAGCAAATTGATATTTCTAGGATTTTACAGATTTTTAAAAAATCTGCAACCAGTGATTATTTGCTTTCAATTAGATTCCAGTTGCCTCTGTGTTCTCAAGAATATATATTCTAGTTTCCTCTTTGTTTTTTTCCCCCAGCTTTTCTGTTAAATCTTTGGCTTTTTCTGTTGTTACTAAGTATCATCTTTCTTGTTTGTGGGCATTCTGGATCAATCCAGACACTTAAAAATCCACTTTGTTAGTATAAAAGAAGCTTCCAGGTTTTCTCCAGGCTTTCTGTTCTGTAGTGCCTCCATTTAGGACGGGAGTAAGTCATTGAACCTCATAAAGGAGGGATCTCTGTCTTATTTCACGTTGATTCACCGAGAACAGTGCTTGAAACGTGGTGTTTGTGCAGTAAATATTCTTGTTAAGTTGAACAAATGAAAGTAAATTGTCTCAAATGTATTTTATTATTTTAAAGTTACTTTAAAAACTTTGTAGGTTAATTTGTTTTACTTGTTCATTCTATACTATAGCATTCTTTTTAGTGGAGGTAGACCATAGGACATGAATCACCCAGACGTTGTAGGATAGTTGTTTTTAAATGTGATCTCATGGGTGATATGGTCATCATTTGTCAGAAAATTGATGCATTTAAGTAAAATAATAGCTTGATACCATGGATTTGGGGTCCCCAAGACCACCCCCGAGTTTGATGACTTGCATGCAAGACTCATCTTATAATCATATTCTCAGCTGTGGTTTCTTACAGCAGAATTATGTTGCATGCTTATTTTTTCATTTGTATTGGTTTTCTCTCCTAATTTTATTGCGACATTTGGAGGGCTTAGATTATGTCTTACAGTTCATCTGTATTTCTTGGATACAAAGGGAACTCAGCAAAGGGAAAAAGCACATGAGATGGAGTTAAGGTGAGACTAGGCATGAGCTTCCAAGGCTCTGCTCTCAGGGGAGTCACCCAGGATGTGCTAATTTGCCCCAACAACGAGTTATGACAACACAAATGAAATGTCACCATCCAGGGAACCTCATTAGAGACTTAGTGTCAGAGTTGTTATTAGTGGCCGATCATGTAGGCTCCCCTACCTTGCACATAGACAATTTCCAGACTCCCAGAAGAAAAATAAGTGTTCAATGTACATCATATTATTTGTGCAGGCAGTTAAGGTGCACACAGTGAGCCACTCTTATCAGTCCTGGAAATAGTAAGAACCTTCCCAGAATCCGAGCTCCCAACCCAGCCAAGGGCCAACCTTGTTAGCAGTTCTGTTGAAGGATAGCCATCAGGCCTGCTGCATCAGCTGTTTTCTACACATCTGTTCGTAGATCACTCTCAATTCTTGGATTAGGCTTTTGTAAATCAGTTTTTGTTTTATATATTTCTGAAATTTAAAAATACCTCTTCGAAAACCTCTTTTCCTACTATTCTAAAGGTCCGGGAAGTCTGACAATTTATGTTGTCCATTTGTGCATGAGGATCAGAGTTGGTATCATAACATTGCCAAGTGGATAAGCTCTCTCATAATTAGGAGAGAACTTTCAGAAAATTCCCTACAGAAAATCCTTTCTTAAAAATGCAATGATGATGCATTCAGATAGTCCTATGTAAGTTGAAATCCCCTCTGCCCTTCCTACTCATCTGAAGGTAAAAATATTCCTAGGAGGAGCGGTCAACAGCAGGGCCCTTTGGGAGGCTGAGGTGGGCAAATAATTAAGTCCAGGAGTTTGAGACCAGGCTGAGCAACATGGAGGAACCTCATCTCTATAAAAAATACAAAGTTTAATAGGGCGTGGTAGATTACAGGCATGAGCCACTGCACCCAACCTTGGCTAGAAATTTAATGGTCACCTAGACCTAGACCAAGACCAAGAATTTGCTTTTGAGGAGGAATGTAACACAGGGCAGACAAATGCAAGGATTATAAAAAAGTTTATCAGGAAAGCAGTATAGCAATTCAGGAACGCAATGGAGGGTTTCACAGAACGTGTGAAAAGATATTGGGTTCAAGTGATGCATTCATTCCTTCAATGTATATTGCATACCATACTCCATGTACTGCATGGAGGGCTTGATAGAACAATGAGCAGAAAATCACATGCTTACCAGTCATCATCCAGTGTAGTGAAGGGATACTGATGAGAAATAAGAAATTTAAGTAAGCACTATAAGAAAACTGGGTACAAACAATAATTTTTATGTTTTTTAAATTGTTTACTTGATTTTCAGGTTACTGTTCAGTATCCCTTACTATAGAAATACAAAATTATTTTGAATTTTTTTCCCCTCTCTTTTTAGCATACATCAAAGGTGGGTGGATCCTTAGGAAAGCCTGGAAGATTTACAATAAATGCTATCTGGACATCAATGCCCTTCAGGAGCTGTATCAGAAGAAGCTAACTGAAGAGTCCTTGACTTCTGATGCTGCAAATGATAATCACATTGTGGCTGAAGGGGTGTCTGAGGAGTCTCTGAACAGACTGAAAGGTGCTGTTAGCTTTGGATATGGCCTTTTTCACCTTTGCATATCCATGGTGCCCCCAAACCTGCTCAAAATCATCAACCTGCTGGGTTTTCCTGGAGACCGCCTACAGGGGCTTTCTTCACTGATGTATGCAAGCGAAAGTAAGGACATGAAGGCCCCTTTAGCTACGTGAGTAGCTGTATTGCAATGCTTTGGTAGATAATGTAGTGTTGAAAGTAAGTAAACGAAACGACATCAAAGACTTTAAAGGAAACTTCAGGTAAAATGTTTGGTTGGTTGACAGGATGCTGTGTCTTACGTCTTTCAGTGCAACACCAAGGACTGTGTTCTGTGGTGGTGTTGGTGGTTCTGAGCTGACTTTAGTTAGAGAATAAGGTGTTGTTCAGGAGTGTCATAAGTCCTGTATTTTAACACATCACATGACCTTATCTTTCAACCTCAAATGATTTTATAAGCAGTTTTTGTGACTTTGTTCAGTCTCTGAGATTCACAATTCTAATATTTGGACTCATAAGATATAAATTTGATAAACTTTTTCTGTGGTTCTGAAATTTTTATTCTTACAAAGAATCCTCATATTGGGTAATTTTCCTTGATGATTCAGGGTGGTTTCTTATACGTGGCGTGGATATTTTATGCTCTTCCACTAAACTGAGTCATGTCATGTTCCTCAGTCTAAACTTAAGTAATAATTATTTAAGCAGGAGAGGAGAGCATGGGGAAGCTGTTATAATAGAACAAGAATCCACTCACTTCTACATCAGTTAAAAGTGATGTGATTTTTGCCTGTCTGTTTTAGTCTGGCAAGGAGCTACCATTTGCAACTTGAGTAATTTTACAAGTAGCAGATGTTCTTTGTCTAACAGTATAGCACTTGTCAAAATTTTCCCCAGAAAATGTTGACATCACAGAGGACCTTACCTCTATTTCTACTTGTGTCAGTACTGAGAAATTTGGATGTTAACTCTTAATCAACTGATAGCTATTTAAAATATCATTAATTTTTCATTAAAAAAAATTTGCCTCCCTAAACTCATTAAATTACACAGTTGTCCTTTATTAATTTGAATTAACAGGTTTGTTAACTGGTGATCATTTGTTTGTATCTTAATATTATTTTATGCTTATCTCTGATAAAGAAATGAATCGAATTTTTAATATAATTTGTTTGAGCTCTGTAAGAGAACCAAATTTACAAGCATACCAGAAGTATGCATTTACATAAAAACATTTGACATGCTAGTTAAACATTTTTGTCTGTTTCTTAAATTAAATCCCAATGACTGTTTTGTTTACCTAGTTTAACGTAGACTTTTTTTTTTTTTAAGCAACGAGTTTGGGGCAAGGGAATCTGAAGTAATTTATTTATTTACTTGTTTTTTTAAATTGAGCATCTTCAGAGGCCAGAGAAAGGGCTCTCTGTTTTATCCTGTCACTTATTTTAACCCAACTTAGTATAATTTGTGTCTGTGGTTCTATATTTAAATTTATTCTTTTTAAAAATTTTCTTTTTCCCTTGACCTATTTATTTGTACATGATATTACAATTAAATTCTAGGCTTACACCCTAACTATTGTGAACACAAGAGAAACATTTTCCTTTGCCAAAAATAAATAAATAAATAAAGCTTTTATTACAAGGGGACAGTAAATTTCATGGTGACTGGTTACCATTTCTGATTGGTGCATTGATGAGTAAAGTATAGAATTTAGAGATTTATGTCAGTCATCTCTTCAGTGATCTGTCTAGAAAGCTGAGAAAAGCTAAATGCTACTGTTAAAGCATTTTCTCTCCCCTGAGGGAAGGGTGTATTCTGATTTATATATTGTGCTAAAGTTGCAGTTTTCCCAATATTAACATTAAAATGGGGAAAGACATTCTGATTTTACTTCTTCCAAGACTGCATAGTAAGCTTTTTGGAAAAAGTAGTATTGGAAAAACACATACTGAATTTTTGAAAGATAGAAATGATATTAGAAAAATTATGTGCTCAATGTTTCTCTCCCTCTTCCTCTAGATTAGCTCTGCTCTGGTATCATACTGTAGTCCGCCCGTTTTTTGCCTTGGATGGCAGTGATAACAAGGCAGGCCTGGATGAAGCTAAGGAAATTCTCCTTAAAAAAGAAGCTGCTTATCCAAACTCTTCCCTATTTATGTTTTTCAAGGGACGGATACAACGACTAGAGGTACTGTACCTTCCTCATCTTTTTAAAATAAAGCGTCCGATGATCAAATCTCTGATTCTCACTTGAGGACTGTTATCAAAACGAGCCAGAATGTCACAGGGCCCGGGAGCATTTTGTTCTTTTGCCTTTCCTTGCATCATTGCTAGGGGAGACTCTTCCAGGAGCCCAGGATGTTAGTCAGTTACCTTCTGTTCGGAAGACGTGGGCGAAGTAGGGGTAAGATTCCTCGTGGCTAATGACACAGGATTGGTGCACTTCCAGCCTAAGGCATGTGAACATTACTTAGTGGCTGAGTTGAAAAACACAAAATACAATTTTTCCCTCTCCGAGTTACTAATGATCTCTTTCTAAACTTTGATCTTGGCTAACAATTGACTTAGACAAAAGTTACTGCCTTCAATATCAGGGCAACATGAGCTTTGAAATATTAGGAGCTTTTATCACATTTTCATATGCTTAATTTGGCTCAGTACTGTGTCAAGAGCTTTACACATGCTCTTCCATTTCATCCTCAGAACAACCCTGTGACATAGATACAAAATTGTCATCTGCATCTTACAGAAAAAATAAGCAAGGACCCAAGAGGGTTTCAAGTAACTTCCTGTGCTTACCCAGTGAGTGGGCCCAGGTTGTCTCACTCCAGAACCAGAAATGCCCTAGCCTTTGGAGGTGTCTGTGTCTCCTTTGCATCTCTTTTTATCTGCATGCTTGAGGTTATGAGGATTTATAGAAAAATGAAAATGTAAAATAAGATAGCTTATAGTAGCTGCTTCATCTACATTCTCACCAATAGTTATCAGCAAAGCAGTTTGTGTTTTTAACATTTGTCCTCCAGTTAACCAGGTGCTCTGAGAAATCAGCCCCCATGAGTCCTTTTGAAGATTTTTGCCTAGAAATGCTTTCATGGGCACAGGAATGATTTGTTCTTTTTGAGGTGGAGGTGTGGCAAGCAATGGAGGGGATATTACTTTCTCAGTCATTTTTCTCCTTCATAAAGTGACTCTTTAAATCTGAAGACTTTGCAGAACAATTTTCTAAGCGCTTTATGTATGGAAGATGTGTTTTAGAGATTAATTTAGCAATTGAAAATTGAGATATAGTCCGGGCATGGTGGCTCATGCCTGTAATCCCAGCACTTTGGGATGCCAAGACAGGTGGATCACCTAAGGTCAGGAGTTCAAGACCAGACTGCCCAACATGGTAAAACCCATCTCCACTAAAAATACAATAAACTAGCTGGGCATGGTGGCATGTGCTTGCAATCCCAGCCACTTGGGAGGCTGAGACACGAGAATTGCCTTAACCCAGGAGGCAGAGGCTGTAGTCAGCCAAGATGGCGCCACTGCACTCCAGCCTAGGTGACAGAGCAAGACTCCATCTCAAAAATAAATAAAATAAAATGAAATAAAATTGAGATATAGTACAGAAAGCCCACCAAGATCTGAATTATTTAAACCCATGTCCAAATTGTTTTTCTTCTCATTATCTTGAAACTCTTTCTCTTTGCGTACAGGCTTATGAGCCTTTGGTTGTATTTCTCCCTTTTTTCTCTTGCTCTTTTTTTTTTTTTTTTGGAGAAAGGGTCTTGCTGTGTCACCGAGGCTGGAGTGCAATGGTACAGTCATAGCTCACTGCAGCCTTAGCCTCAACCTTCCAGGCTCAAGTGATCTTCCCATCTCAGCCTCCCAAGTAGGTGGGACTATAGGTGTGTGACACCATGCTTGGCTAATTTTTTATTTATTAATTAATTTATTTTAGGGATAAGGTCTCCCTTTGATGGCCAATCTGGTCTCAAACTCCTGGGCTCTAGCCTCAGCCTCCCAAAGTGCTGAGATTACAGGTGTGAGCCACTATGCCTGGCCACAGGATGAGTGCTTTCTTAGATTTAGATTTCTTCAAGGGCAGGCATGAGTTCTGAGTAGCTTTGAACACATTGATACTGGGTTTTGTGTTTAACAGAGATTTACTGGGAGTGAAAGCCTTAAATTTTAAATTGTGTGCAACAGGGCAGTGAGGCCCTTTAGCTCTGGGCATTTCTTAGGATTCTCTCCCTTTATTCTGCTGATGAATGAATGCTCTAAATTGGGTTTTGAAGTTGTTAAACAGAAATGTGAAAATCAGAACTTATACGTTGTTATGCTTGCCATTTGAGTTAAGTTTTCATTTTAAAACAAAATCGCTTAACTTCTGGTTAAGCTAATAACTTTTTTCCCAAAAAATATTACTTTGACATGGTTTTAGTTTGTGCCATGACTAATTCCTGTAAAGGAATGAGGGAATACTAAAAGTAAGCAGTCATTCCTTGTTGTCATGATGGTTCTAGAAATAAGGAAGCCACAGCTTCATCAAAAGATTCCTGTAAATATGGTTTTGGGAGGTACATAGTCCACATTATAGCTCTTAGTAGATATGTAGTCTATTTGGGAGTAGATAGTTATAATCAGAGGTAGATACTAGAACTCCTTCGCAGTTAAGTGGTTTCCTTATTTAGTTTTAAGAAAAAGCACCCAAGATCTGTTACTCCTGTTATTTAGTAAGCTGTAGCTTTAGGGCCAGACAAAATATGATGAGTGTTTCTGTGTGGCTCTTCCCAAAGGCCCAGAGGATGAAAAGATTTTAAGGCTAACTTGAAATATGGTTGTTATTATCATCAGGGTGCCCAGACAGCAGTGTTGCATTGATCTTCCCAGGTATGTGTAGGAAGGTATCAGAAATGAAGGGGTCATCCTTCATTTGCAGATGAGGGAGGCTGTGATAAAGCTCTTGCCAAAGGCTTTTCATGAGGCTTCAAAGGCCCTGATTCAGTTTATGAAACATACATGACTCCTTCCAATGAATTTGCTTACAAAGAATTTTTTTTTTTCTTTTCAGTGAGCATTTAGGTTAGAGATAGGGCCCCTTGAGCTCTTTTTATCAGCATGTACTCACAGAACATGGTCTAGGGGCTCTAATTTAGGCAGACACATCATATGACACCATCTTTGTTTCCTCGGTGACTCAGAATCTGTGAAATTATTTGAACAGCTGCTTTTGTGAAAGCTTGCTAACATGCAGGGTAACTAGCTCAGTTTGCGTCCGTCAGTGTTCATTCTTCTGTACTCATTTTCAAATCCTGTTCAGTGCCCACTTTTTCTTTTAGTGTTGTTAACTTTTTACGTTTTTTACCCTTTGTTGTTTGGGACTCTGTAGAGTGAACATAGGAGAGTTTCTTCCACACATCTGCTCCTGTGCTGCCACTTGTATAAACCTCGTGGTGGTGACTTCAATGTTTTCTGTTGTGGCCTCAGTTGATGTTGCAGTGAAGTGCTACCCCATGGTGGTGAGGTCCATTTGCACAGGATCCTCTTCGCCAAACTGCAGGAAGAATTCCCTTGCCTCGCTGCCTCTGCTTCTCCCCGCTGTGTGTAAAGCACCCCACCTTGAACCTTCGCTGCCCACTCGTGTTGTCCTTACTACTGATCCTGCCTTCCTTGACTCCTTCCATGTGACATACTACATTGCTGGGGGCAATCAATGTGCGATTACAGTACCCAGCCTGTGGCAAACGCTGTCGAAATAATAGTGTGATCGTGGTTATTATTCCTACTGAGCGCTTAAGCCTGAGAAGTCAGGTATCAAATTTTCATTTTCATTTTTTTCTTTCTTTCTTTTGGAAAAAAATAATTTGTTTTGTGTTGAGAGCTGTCAATAAAACAAGGCCTGTGATTGGCAAAATCGGGCATGGGTGTAGCTATAAAAGATGTAGGTACTATACAGCTATTTACTTTTCCCTGAATTTCCACAATGCAAACCATGTTTAGGAGGCTAACCAATGGATTATATGGGAATCCCAATTTTCTTTTTTTTTGAGACGGAATCTTGCTCTATTGCCCAGGTTGGAGTGCAATGGTGTGATCCCTGTTCACTGCAACCTCCGCCTCCCAGGTTCAAGCGAGTCTCCTGCCTCAGCCTCCCAAGTAGCTGGTATTACGGGCACCCATCACCACACCTGGCTAATTTTTTTATTTTTAGTGGAGATGGGGTTTCGCCATGTTGACCAGGCTGGTCTCGAACTCCTGACTTCAGATGACCCACCCACCTTGGCCTCCCAAAGTGCTGGGATTATAGGTGTGAGCTACTGCGCTTAGCCTGGGAATCTCAATTTTTACTGGTAGTTGTAATTCTGAATTTCTGTATTCTTCTCTTCCTCCATCCTACGTGGTTCTGTTAATGTTCAGGCACAACAATGTTCCATTAATGTTCACTTAATTTTCATCCAGTTAAACCCATGGTAGTGTTATGTCCCTTAAGACACAAGCAATTAATGAGTATTTTTTTTTATTATTTTGACAGTATTAGGGACAACTCTATATTTTCATAAACTGTTTTCATTTCTCTCTGTTCTTTTTTCTTTAAGCAATACGGAATTACACAACTTTTTTCCTTTTCAGCTTTACCAGTCTACTTTGTATGTGTCATGTAACAATCTGGTTTTCTGTAAATACTTTCACACACACACCTTATGTGGTGTAACAATTTAGTAATGTAACTAATTTTTAATATTATTTACCTCTAAATAAGTGTTCAGATGTTCAAATGAATGAAAGCAGTTTTCTGTAAACTCACTGCAACCTTTGCCTCCTGGGTTCAAGAATTCTCTCTCAGCCTCCTGAGTAACTGGGATTACAGGCATGCACAACCATGCCTGGGTAATTTTAGTATTATTAGTAGAGACAGGGTTTCACCATGATGACTAGGCTGGTCTTGAACTCCTTACCTTCATTTTGAAACTGTCTCCTGAGCTTGAGCCCATACGCTGTGAATATCCTGCATGCTGACATTTTTAAACCTTGGGTTTGTTTTTTGGAAACCAAAATCTGGGCCTAGCACAGGACTGCCCTTCATTGTATGTTTGTTGAATGAATAGATGAGGCTACTGGTAGAAAATCTATTGCTGTGTGTCATTTCTTTGTTAAGAAATGAAGTTGGGGTCGGACGCGGTGGCTCAAGCCTGTAATCCC